TAGAATCACAGAATGTTTTGGGTTGGAAGGGACCTTTAGAGGTCATCTAGCCCAGCCCCCCTGCAGTGAGCAGGGACACCCTTGACCAGATCAGGTTGCTCAGAGCCCCGTCCAACCTGGCCTCGAACGTTTCCAGGGATGGGGCCTCCACCACCTCTCTGGGCAGCCCGTTCCAGTGTTTCACCACCCTCCTTGTGAAGAATTTCTTCCTTATATCCAATCTAAACCTATCCTGGTTTAGTTTAAAACCATTACCCCTTGTCCTGTCACAAGATGTACTTAACAGGCAAGCAGGAAAAAGAAGAGAAGGGAGAGGGCTGTACTTCCACAGTAAACAACCCCTTTCCTTGGACAGAGAAATAGATAGCAATCAGGACACCTGAAACATAGTAACTTAACTGTTTTGGTTTTGCATGGCAAGGTCAGCACCTACCCACACGGCAGCTTTTGACTTTTTCTTGCTACTTCTGTAGCCGTGACCTCCCTGTTCACAGAGTCTGAAGGCTTTGTCGTTTGGCTTGGAAACAGAAAAGGGAAGGTGCCCCCATCCCTGGGGGAAACCCTCTCATGACAAGGACGTGGCTTTGCTGGAAGCCCCACAGCATTGCTCCCCTAGTGCGGAGGCAGCAATGCCAAAGGCAAGGGACGTATGTCATGTCTGGAAAAGTGTTTCTTTTCCCCATGAAAATCAGCAGTTGTAATTAAAGATCCCTGCAAGTATGATGTGTTTAACAAGCCCATCTTTGCTCTGTGACTTTCATATAATACCTCAGTTCAAAGATGTTGACCGGAGGGATTGCACATATTCCCCCTAAGCTTAGTGATGGACCACTTCTTGTTTCGGTGACACTGCCATTCAGTTCTCCAGTAAATACAAAGCCTCTCAAGGGGATGCACCCAAACTCCTAACACCAGCTATCAGCACACAAAACAGCAGCAGGGGCAAGAGAGGGATCTAGTGGGACAAAAGGGGGAAAAAAACCCCTGCATTCTTTCAAGCCCTTCCCAGGCATTGAGACCTGGTTCTGCTGCAAATGGTGATGGCCCCTGCACAGCACCACCACTGCTGCCTGACAGCAGCCCCAAGGTGAAAGAAAAAAGAACAAACTGGGAAAAAAAAAAAAACCTAAAGAAATTTCTACCTTAACTCTGAAAACACACCTTTCCCCTTCACTGACCGGACAAGAGAATTCTGTTTTCATTGCTAAAAGGCGAGACCAGTACTTATTTTTAGCAGGACTTTGAGCTCAGGGCTGGAGCCTCATGGGGCTCTGACCAGGGGTAACTGGATTAGTTGTTGCATTATGCAACCCATCCCCGTTAGGCGCTGCCAAGCAGCTTGACGCGGGATGAAGCAGGTCTCCATCAGACCCTTCGGAGCAATTACCGAACATCACGGGAAGAATTACAGTGCAGGGATTACCAAAGTCACGTACAACCAAAAAGTTACAGGCACGTAAACATTTCAGCCATCACTTATGCACCACACCGTGCAATTTATGTGACACAGAGAAAGCTGGCAGAGGCGGGGGCATGGGGTAGGGAAACCTTACAAATATTTTCTTTTTTTATAGTCAAACAATCTGCATTTAAAGAGGTGTGCAAGCTGCACACCCTTACTTTGCCCACAATGATTCACATCCCTTCGCTACAGCAGGCACTCATCAGTATTTTTTTCCCCTGTTGCGGCACGATGCAGAGCCCCTCAGCGGGATGGCTGCAGGCAGGGGCAGCACCGTGTCTCACTAACAGTAAAGTCCTTTACTTCTTGGACCCCAGCACTGCTCCACAGGTGGTAGAGTAAAAGAAAGGATAGGAAATTGCAACACCATCTTCTGACTGGAGGGAATTAATTTAGAAATCTTTGTGAAGTACCAAAGCACACGGAGATTTCTGTTCCACCACTTACAAATGAGCAGCCCTACTACCTGAGCATCCTGGGCTTCGGCAGGTAATTATTCCCACCTAAACGGCCGGCAGGGTACCCAAACACTGTACAGGTCGTCGCGTACCACTAGACCACGTTTGCTCTCCAAATCTCAGGTGAATTTGTGTACAGCATCCAGCAGCGAACACAGAGAAGTATAAAGCGTGGCTGGGTCATCCGCTGCGCTGCGGCGAAGGAATCACAGGGCGTTCTTGCCGTATGGGATGAACGCAGAGCTAAAAAGCAATGATGCCACGCAAATGAGGCACTAATATGAAATGGTTTGACGCATGTTGCTCTGTCTGTCCCTGCATGCCATGAGACTGAGGGGTCTGAGCTGATGGAGATCTTGGTTTCCCTCTTTTTGTTCTTGTTCTTGGTGTCAGTGAGCCCTGAAACGTGAAGAAATAAAGCGATGGGATCTCCCCCATCCCACCCGTTCCCACAGGCCCCCCACTTTAGGGCATGCAGCTGTGGCCCTTGCTTGCACGTGGTCAATGACTACAGACCCCCTGGGACACTCAGTGTGAGACCCATGAATACTGAAGCACCAGAGCTCAGCTCCTTCTCAAACCTTTGGCCACAGCCTGAGAACCTTCTCTGAATTTGTCATTTATTTTGTGCCCAGAAAACACAGAGGGGGGGGGGGAGGCTGGTTTCTGCTGGGCAGGGCTCCCTTCAGACCGGAATATCATCATGCCACCAGACAGGCACCTTCACCAGAGCTCTGGAAAAGCAGCTTTTCCTTGCAGCCTGCACCACTTGGCCCAAAGCTGGCCAGAGGAGAGGGGGACGCTGAAGGTAAGTGCCTACAGCAGCCAAGCAAGCTGCGCTTTTTTTTCCCCGGGATAAATGTCAGGCAGCCACTTGTGCTGGGCCTCTCTGTTCATATTAACCAAGAATGATTGAAATTGCCATGTCAGCTTCTCACCCCTTTTTTATAACTTTGAACTGTACAAATGGCATCGCTTTCTTCTGCTTTCCAAAGCAGCCTGTTGAAATGTGCCCCAGCAAACTGGAGGGAGGTGTTACCCGACGGTGCGCTCTGCCTGCAGCAACAGTTCTGAGAAGGATGCTAAATTGAGCCTGATGAAGAGGAGGCGATGTTCATTCGTTGCCTAGATATTTACCTAGAATTTTATTCTGCCATTTCAAAAGCCGGAGTATTAATATTGCAAATACTACTCCCTAAGGAACTCACCACTATATTCTATATGCTTTATACAGACTGACACAGAAGAGTTAGCTCATCCACACAGTTAAAAAAATCCTGACAGAAAATATGGACACTTCTACTTTGAAGCGAGCAGATTTTCCCCTCAGTTTGTATGTTTCTTTTTTTTTTTACTGCTTCACAAGCAGTTTAGTCATCGTAGCTCTAAAAGTGTACCTAAGCAAGCACATCCCTAGTCAGCAAAACTTATCTCTCAAAGCTCATTCCTATCTCCAGAAGAAAATAGATGGTGTACACATTTCAGCTTAGACTATCTTCAAGCATCTCTGGCAGCGAGCCTCTCTTCTGCTGTATATAAATTGTTGTACGATCAGCAAAAGGCAGTGTTTCAAGGCAGCCGTTGCATTTGGCAAGAACATTTAACAGTATAGGATGCAGCAACGATAAGGAAAAAACCTTGCCTGGGTGCTGCACAATTCCTCAGTGTCAGCCTGCATAAATGGCAGACCCTAAGCAGTATGCAGCCTCAGAGGAATTTTGCCTTCGCTTCGCCTGTGGATGTGATGTGAGAGCCAGCTCACCTAGCTCTGGACACCGACCACCTAGGTGCCTGCACCCAAGCAGATCACCCTAAGCTCCTTCGTAGAAATAAACACCTCTGGGCATCCAACCTACATTAGGCATTTATTTGGGGGTAAGATGAAAGGCTCCTCTCCCTCTCCCCTGCCTACAAAAGCTAACTTTCACAGCATCTTGCCCACACCAGCTCAGATGAATCCTAGCCACGATGTCTCCTGCAGAAGACCCCGTGTTTCTGACTATCCAGCTCACTCAGGCAGTGGCTGCTGCAGGTCCCAGGCCTCAGCAGCGTGGGGAACTGGCAGCACCTGCTGGTGGGGTAGGACCAACCTCCTCCTTTAGTCCCTGATGTGGCAGATACTTAAGTGAGTGCTTAACTTCGCAACCAAGAACAGTTTCCCCAGCTCTACCAAAATTACTCATGCTGATCAAATTAAGCAAGTGTCACATGCCTCCAGAATTGGAATCTAAACACCAATAAAACACTGGCTGCTCTGGAGACCTTAAATATTCTCTTTCCACCTCTGTGCCTACACAGACTTGCCATCCCGATCTTTGCTGTTCTCCCAGGTCCTCCCAGCGAGCCTGCACACTGCGGTAACAGTAAGTTGCTGCTGCCACATCGCCTTTTATTTCCCAGCACAACATCATCAGAAAGAGAGAGGCAAAAGGACTCCCTCCTCTTCCCATTTACTGAAGGAAGGAAACCGCACGTCACCCTTATACGCGTGTAAGTCACACCAACATCAGTCGTAGAAGTAAGAATTGAAACAGAAGAGGAGATGCTTTAAGTCAAAACTTTCTACCCCGCAAGCACGTATGAAGACTGGCAGTTCTGTCAATGTTTATTACGCGCAGCTGATGCATTAATCCTCTGCAAACACAGTTCCTGAACTGGTTTGTACTATTTACCGATCTCCCCTTTCCTTCCAGCCCCTTATGAACAGAGTAGGATTTCTCTTCCACGGAGAGAAGGAACATTAATATCCAAGCCAGAAATACGCCACCTAAGTGTGAAAAGCCAAGATGCTTTTTTGCCATAAAATGACATGTTTTAAGGGAAACCTTCCTCAGAGTTTTATACTCTGACTTCAAGCGGTAAAACAGTTTCTCCTCTTGCTATGCAGCTTTTCATCAAGAGAGTTGTCTCGCAAAGTTCTGCACTAAACTCTGTGTGCTAAACCACATCACTATATGGGGTGTGTGTGTGTGTGTATATACGCATATGCATGCATTTATATGTATTTTCAAAGAGAACCAATGGACAGCTGTTAAACAGATGCACAGGCACTGCTGCCTATGCACATGTGGATTACTCACCTCAAGTGCTGGTTAAAATAACACGTAAATGGCTGCGAACCCACTTTCTCTTTCCAGTATTTCTGCTTGTACGTGACGTTCTCAGAGTTCTCCTGATCGTCTCTTGCACAGGGAGGGATGTACGAGCACTGCCAACACACGGTGCAAAACAGAGTTACTTCCGCGCTCAAGAACGCAGGGCATCGCTCCCTCTGCATTTTCATCATAATATCAGCGTGACTGAAATGGGGAAAGAACAGTAAGTACAAGCTCCAAAGAAAGGAAAAAAGAAAAGTTAGCTGAACTTTACTTCAATTGCTAGTTGCTCCCTGCAGGTACTGGAAAAGAAACAAAATAAAGGCTTTACCACAGGTTTTTTTTTGTTACCGAACCAAGCTGCCACAAAACACCTTGGGGTTTTGCATGATGAATGTGAAGATGATCGTTTCATTTTGATGTATTCCTAGCCAGCTGCACGGACTGGGTTTGAATTACTTCCTATGTTCAGTGAGGCACGTAATCACAAGTTTTGTTTAGCACCATGCTAATAAATAACCAAAATATCCTGGCAAGCTTTCCCAGATGATGGGATATGTGATATCTGGCTGATATCCATTGGCAAAAGCCAGGTATTCTTCCACTGCTACAACGCAGGGAAAACAAGCACAGAAAGTTCAAAGCCCCACTTCAGCAGAGAAAGGTTCAGCATCTGCTTCTGCTGTATAGAAGTCAGCGAGTGTTGAGCATGCAGCTGATCTATCTGCAGATATCACCCCCAGACATCTGCTTCAAAGCCCAAAGAGGTCAAGGGGAGTTCCTGCCCCAGCTCAGTGCTCTTGGGTCTGGGCTCTCAGAGACTCAGCTCTGGGTCACGAAAAACCCACATACCTTGTTTCAGAGTCTCGTCTTTGACATGGGGAGCTAAGCAAGAAAAAACCAAGTAGTCCACTAAATCCAATATTGGCAGTATCAGGATCTCAGTGTCCAAGGAAAATGCCTCATATTGTTATCAGGCATCCACATGGGAGATGTTGAACCAAACTGAGTAAGACAGCTTAACTGATCCTTGGGTAACATAAAGGCTTTTCGCCCTGGAGGACGCACGGAGAGCAAGGCTCCTGGTGCACACACAGATTTTTAATTCCTTTGAAGGTGGGAGCTGCAAGCAGAAAAAAGTGACTGGGAAGGCAGCTAAAAAGTCTCCTAGTTAGGTAGGGTAAGGAGATGCAAGGTGTGGTAATGCAAGGGATCCCCACATACAATCACAACATGAGTGTCTTCACAGTATCCTGAAGGCAGCAACAACAAGCAGAGAGGTACTCTCTCTAACATGAAAATGAAGATCACTGTGACTCACTGTGCCTAGTGAATGCTTTCCTCTCCCTCTCCACCAGGTGAGGTTTCACAGGGGCCTGCCGTGCCCCCAGCTGCATGATATACCCGAGCTGCACAGACCTAGAAGTCCATCTCCCCTGTACAACATCTTGAATCTTTGCCATTCCAGGGGGATGGGAGAAATCTCAGGGTTTTATTGGCCTGATCATGTAAAACCTGACCACTTCTGTCAGCACTTACAGTTGCTGCCAGTAGCTTCCATGCTTCAGACTGGAAGGATCTGCAAGGTCTTGCTTGTTGCTTCCAAGCTGAAATTTGCCTTTTTCATGGGCAAGGGCCTCCATTCTCACATGGGCCCACATCTGGTGTCACCAGGGCACAGAGCTCCCTTCAGACCCCTGTTCAGATGACCCTAAACAAGGATTCTCTCACTGCTGACAGTAACGGACAGAAACAAGCAGCAACAACAGCACTCTGCTTCAGAAACCAGAACGCAGTATTTATCACGCACAATTATTTCCATCTAAGATAATATTCCTCAGCTTGCAATGTTTTTGGTTTGGTTGCACACTTTGGGAGCATCAACCACACTCCTCTTTCCTCCATCCTCCCTCCCAGTGCACAAACACATCTGTGCAGCAGCTGGACAGAGCCAGCACAGTTGGTACGAAAACACCCAAGGGCAAAGCTGACTCTGCTCTGGCCACTGACCATCCTACCTGGTCCCTTGCTGGTTCTCCCTGCCCACCGAGAGCTTCCCAAATCAAGATGTCTGTCTCTCCCCATGCCAAGGCAAGACAGAGTATGAGAGTACTGCCAGTACCTACAGGAGGAACACCTGGAAATTAGGGACAACAGTGAATATGCTTTCTATAACTCAAACTTAGAATCATAGAATAGTTTGGGTCAGAAGGGACCTTTAGAGGTCATCTAGTCCAAAACTCTTGCAGTGAGCAGGGACATCTTCAACCAGATCAGGTTGCTCAGAGCTCCGTCCAACCTGGCCTTGAATGTTTCCAGGGATGGGGGCCTCCACTACCTCCCTGGGCAACCCATTCCAGTGTTTCACCAGCCTCATTGTAACAATTTTCTTCCTTATATCCAGTCTAAATCTACCCTGGTTTAGTTTAAAACCGTTACCTCTTGTCTTATTGCAACAGGCCCTGCTAAAATGTTTGTCCCCATCTTTCTTATAGGCTCCCTTTAAGTACTGAAAGCTGCAATCATGTCTCCCTGCAGCCTTCTCTTCTCCAGGCTGAACATCCCCAACTCTCTCAGCCTTTCTTCATAGAAAAGGTGCTCCAGGCCTTGGATCATTTTTGTAGCCCTCCTCTGGACCCACTCCAACAGTTCCACGTCCTTCTTGTGTTGAGGGCTCCAGAGCTGGACACAATACTCCATGTGCAGAGTGGGGGGGCCGAATCCCCCCCCTTGACCTGCTGGCCATGTTCCTCTTGACGCAGCCCAGGGTACGGTTGGCCTTCTGGGCTGCCAGCACACATTGCCAGCTCATATCCAGCTTTTCATCCACCAGTACCCCCAAGTCCCTCTCGGCAGTGCTGCTCTCAATCCCTTCATCCCCCAGCCTGTATTGATACTGGGGGTTGCCCTGACCAAGGTTTCCCTCCTTCCTCACCTGTCCCTTCTGAACAGCCTGTAGCCATTGATAGTTGCACTCCACTCATGGGATTCATCCCACCAAGTTTCAGTAAGGCCAACTAGGTCATAGCTTTCTAGCAGCACAGTGGCTTCCAACTCCTCCTTTCCACCTGTTTGTTGCCCATGTTACCCATGCCCATTGCTGTAGAGACACTTCACACCACTCTTTGCACAAGTAATCCCACGGCAGCTCACAGAAAAAACATTGGATTAATTTCCATCTCTTCCTCTTTATCTTCACGTGAAAAACACAAACATCTAGTGTCTTACGATAAATCGTTGGGACCTCATTGCTTGAGCCTGTTGAGGATTAACAGTCTCAAGGAGAGGAGTGGTCACTGCCCAAGGCAAAATCGTCATCACATGAATCCCAGCGGTCACGCTGAAACCGTCTCCTCAACCTGATGAAGGCCTTGAGCCACAGCGAACACCCAAGGTCCAACGCCAGCCTGGACTTATCATCTGCCACACAGAGCTGGTTTGCCTCCCCGGGACGTCAACACAGTTCCTACCAACCTGATTTCATTTTGGCCCCTTCTGATCCACACAGGTGATGGATCTCTCTTCTCTCAGCCTCCCAAGCACACTTCTTGGGCATTTTGCTTGATCAGCTGTATTGCCCTCCAAAGCACAGTCAGCATGTGGATAAAAGGGAATCATAACCTGGCAACTTTTGCTGCCCTGAGTTGGTAAGATCAACCTGATATGACCTGCTTTGGTAAGAGGCAGATTGTGAAAGGTTAATTCCGCAGGCCTCCCCCACAAGACATGGAATGAAATCCTACCATCAAAACATAAATAAATGCCAAGTGTTTGAAAGCAAGTTAGGATGTCTTGTACTCAACTGCAGCTCGTGCAGCAACATCCATTTCCAGTGGAAGTGTCCCACTCTATATTAACTTGATGGGTTGTTTTTTTTTTCTTAAACAAGTTACAATGAAGTTGGAGAACAGCACTTAAGATTAGACATTCAGAATAATTCTAATGGAGCAGAGGCCTTTTCAGTGGATCTATTGGTACATGGTGCTGTAATCATACCTCCTACGCTATGTCATAGCAACGATAAAATTATTATGCAATTCAAATACAGTCTCAATTACACAGCTCAAAATCGGTATCAGGCTAATAATATTCCCCCTTCAATCACAGCCAGTGTTTGGATAGATGACTCAGGAATCAATTCAGTAAAAATGTCAGTGAGCAGCAAATATGCCTTTACACCAAGGTTTTGTAAGATTTGTAACTGTGTTTGCTGCTGGATGCCTCCACTCCAGTGCCTCTGCAGATACCTGGGAAGATCCCCAGTCCTTTTGAAGACTTCATCGGAGCAGATATTCTTCCATATCACGAAGAAGGAACAGAGGCATGAACTCTTGACCATGGTTTAGTTTCCAGGTTTTCAAAGGCTAATTCTTGCCTAATTCAGCGACATTTTTATGAAAAAGAAGCCACACTTGGTAGGCTCTGAGGGAAGATGTCTCAAGCCTGGAAGACACTGTCTGTAAGATGAGACCAAGAAAATCTCAAATGCAAACAGACGTAAAGGCCCAAAGTAGGAAACAAGTCAGCCCATCGGAAGACAAACCAATGGCACTAAGAAGCAAGTCTCCAGCCTCAGTCTCCAAGCGATTTGTCAAGGACCATCCTCCTGGCTGCTGGTGAGCTACAGGACACACAGCACATACCCTTTGCTTGGCGTGGCAGAGAGCCCCCATCATGTGCCATGCAGGTTGGGAAGCTTGGCATGAAACAAAGGAGAGGAAAGGATGCTCTGGATAAATATCATTGCAAAAGTACAATGCAACCCTAAAGCCAAAGATTTCCAACTCTCTATCTCCAAGTCTATTGGGTTTGCCTGGCAAGGTTTTGGTAATGGGGGGCTACAGGGGTGGCTTCTGTGAGAAGCTGCTTGAAGCTTCCTCTATGCCCAACAGAACCAATGCCAGCTGGCTCCAAGATACACCCACCGCTGGCCAAGGCCAAGCCCATCAGCAATGGTGGCAGCACCTCTGGCATAACATATTTAAGAAAGAGAAAAAGCTGCTGTGACGAAGCAGCTGGAAGGGCAGAGAAGAGTGAGAATACGTGAGAGGAGCAGCCCTGCAGCCCCCCAGGCCAGTGCAGCAGGAGGGGCAGGAGGAGCTCCAGGCACCAGAGCAGAGATTCCCCTCAGCCCCTGGAGCAGCCCATGGTGGGGCAGGCTGTGCCCCTGCAGCCCAGGGAGGACCCCACGCCGGAGCAGGGGGGTACCCGAAGGAGGCTGTGACCCCATGGGAAGCCCACGCTGGAGCAGGCTCCTGGCAGGGCCTGTGGCCCCG